TTATGCCAGTGTGAAGCTTTGCAAGTCCAGAATGAATTATTCTGTGGTCAAGTGTGCCCTCTTTTGTCGAAAAAAGTGTAACTTCAGTTGGAACACAGAAAACCACTCTATAATGTACAAGTCACCGCTGTGAGGCTTCCTGAGGTGGAAACTGGCACATAGGTGCTTCTGGAAGAGAATGGCAGCTTGTGTGAAAAAGCTTGTTTTCTCAGCCTGAGAAGCTCATTCGGCACACTTAGGTGGAAAAACACCAAAGTCCCACAGAATTGCATGTGAAACAAGAAAAAAGCCAGAATTACATGGGAAACGCAGAAAAGTCACTTTTAATAGTTTTGTGCATTACAGCCAAACTAAGTGACAGAGCCACACCAAACCACTCTATAATGTACAAGTCGCTGCTGTGAGGCTTCCTGAGGTGGAAACTGGCACATAGGTGCTTCTGGAAGAGAATGGCAGCTTGTGTGAAAAAGCTTGTTTTCTCAGCCTGAGAAGCTCATTCGGCACACTTAGGTGGAAAAACACCAAAGTCCCACAGAATTGCATGTGAAACAAGAAAAAGCCAGAATTACATGGGGAAACGCAGAAAAGTCACTTTTAATAGTTTTGTGCATTACAGCCAAACTAAGTGACAGAGCCACACCAAACCACTCTATAATGTACAAGTCGCCGCTGTGAGGCTTCCTGAGGTGGAAACTGGCACATAGGTGCTTCTGGAAGAGAATGGCAGCTTGTGTGAAAAAGCTTGTTTTCTCAGCCTGAGAAGCTCATTCGGCACACTTAGGTGGAAAAACACCAAAGTCCCACAGAATTGCATGTGAAACAAGAAAAAGCCAGAATTACATGGGAAACGCAGAAAAGTCACTTTTAATAGTTTTGTGCATTACAGCCAAACTAAGTGACAGAGCCACACCAAACCACTCTATAATGTACAAGTCGCCGCTGTGAGGCTTCCTGAGGTGGAAACTGGCACATAGGTTCTTCTGGAAGAGAATGGCAGCTTGTGTGAAAAAGCTTGTTTTCTCAGCCTGAGAAGCTCATTCGGCACACTTAGGTGGAAAAACACCAAAGTCCCACAGAATTGCATGTGAAACAAGAAAAAGCCAGAATTACATGGGAAACGCAGAAAAGTCACTTTTAATAGTTTTGTGCA